AAAAAAGGTTATCATGCACAAAAAAAGGGTATCACGGTTTTGACAAACTATTAAGCAGCACAACTGTTTTCAACATTGATAATAATAAGAAATGTTTCTTGAGCAGCAAATCAGCATAGCAATGATTTTTAAAGTAGCGTGTTATACAACTGGAGTAATGACTCCATCACAGGAATAAATTACATTTTAAAATTGTTTTACAATAGAAAACAGTTATTTTGATGATGTACAATTTACAATACAAACAATTTTCACTAAGTAAGATTATTAGGTTCTTGTAAAACCTACTCCAATTATCTGTTTTATTTACAAATGTGAAAAATCTAACATTTACAATGTAATAATTCACAATATCACAGTTTTTTTGTTTTGTTTTTTTTTTACTAAATTTTAATCAAATAAATGCAGCTTTGATAAGCATAAGAGACTTTCAAAAAACATTAAAGAGTCATACTGACCTCAAACTTTTGAATGGTACTGTATACATTTTTTGTGCTATTTATCTTATATTTTCATATAATGTTCCCATATTCATTTGCTACAGATTAAAGTTCTTTAAAGTTGTTATTCCTGAATTACGTACTAAAGTAATAGTAGGTTGAGTGGGTTGTAACACTATACACATATTGCAGAATAATTTAACTTATCTTGGAGGAACTTTTATTGGTCTGCACATCAGAGCACTGATGAGAGCAAATCCCTGCAGCCATGTTCCGACATCCAGTGGAAAACTTGGTAACACTTTTCAATATGGTTCATTAGTTAACAGTTGTTAACTGTACTGGTTAACATGAACTAAACATGGACAATACTTCTACAGCATTTATCTTAGTTAATGTTAATTTCAATATTTACTAATACATTATTAAAATCAAAAGTTGTATTTGTTAACATTAGTTAATGCACTGTGAATTAACATGAACTACACTCTTAAAAATAAAGGTGCTTCACGATGCCATAGAAGAACCTTTTTGTCTAAATGGTTCCATAAAGAACCTTTAACATCTGAAGAACCTTTCTGTTTCACAAAAGGTTCTTTGTGGCGAAAGAAGGTTCTTCAGATTACAAAAAGTTAAGAAAGAGATGGTTCTTTAAAGAACCTTTGACTGAATGGTTCTTTGTGGAACCAAAAATGGTTCTTCTATGGCATCGCTTGAAGAACCTTTTGAAGCACCTTTATTTTTAAGAGTGTAAGAATGAATAACTGTATTTACATGAACTAACATTAACAAAGATTAATAAATACTGAAACAAATGTATTGCTCATTGTTAGTTCGTGTTAACACATAAATAACTAATGTTAACAAATGACACCTTATTGTAAAGTGTTACCGGAAACTTCCATGTAGAAGCAGTTGGGAGGATCAACTCTTTATTAATACACAGGGGTCTGAAATTATCTGTTCAGTGACATAACAAAGAGTGAAAAATTTAAGGGGGTCTGAATACTTTCCGTACCCACTGTATATATTTACAATGTAGAAGCGCTCAAGCTGCATGAACTTGATGATCAAACCTGATCTGATGATGATGCTCTCCAGCATGATTTGAAATGATCCATCGAGCATCGTGAGCTTCAGTGGAAGAAGAACATGTGACCGTCTGAATAAAGAGTAACACAATCAGTGTCACACATATGCTTCTTTCATTAGTGACCTGGAATATGAAATTCTGAATTCATTTGATGTCCTAAAACTATTTCTTTGTTTAAAACTTTTTTTATTTTTCAATGGAAAAAAACCCCCCACCAGCAAGACATTCAGTAAACGTATGGTATATTATTGAAGATAAAAGCATTAACATGTTTTGCAACTCTTCATTATGACCGTGGATCTCACTGTAGACTTGGACTATGAATTTAATTTAATTTAAATTTGGTTGTTTTTTATTTGCACTAAAATAACAAAGCAATTAATTTGTCATCACTTAAGTTTGATGAAAGCAACAATTTTATTCTTAAAATTCTTTACGGTAAATATAAAATATCACTTTATACAGAACGTCAAATATTATAAGCTTATATTTAATGCCAGTGCATCTAGAGGGATGATAACATCTGCCATCTCTCCAAGACATTCACTGATTCAGTTTTTTTCTTTCTTTTATTCAAGAAGTGCTCCTTGTATTTTCTGTTACACCCCGTCTCGTGAAAGACTTGTGCTACTTAGCTTGGGCTAATAACTGCTGCGGTCTGTATCTCTCCTGAACAGAATTACTATTCATCAGCTTCCAATATCTGCTCTCAGCAGTCACTCGTTCTTACTAAAGTGAAATACTTATAGGCTAATCAAGCTCTATTCTGCATGCTGAGTTATTTGACAGTTGATAATCAGAATTAGCATGAATATGAAGGGCAATGCTAGTGGTAATCACATATCTGTGGAAGACATGAATATATATGAATATATATATGAATATTTGAGTTTTGTTACTGTATTGTAGTGTTCCCACTGTCATTCAGATTTCCTCAGAATGAACAAAATATGCCAGATTTTTAAAAACATATATTTTTAAATCAATTCTGTTTTGTAAATTTTTTTTATCAAAACTTTCAAAACTCGATCTCAGAAAGTCAGAAATGAAGAGGCGATGATTATGTTTGTATTTCATGGGGTAAATTATATTCTTATATTCTTCGGAGTGTGGATCTATTCCCATCAAACGATCTGATTCTATTCACGTTGGTTTCTATTGAAGAAGGCAAGTACAGATGATTATTCACAATCAAGCACAGTACATTTAATTAAATCGAATTGCTATGAATCTTCACAAGGCATTTAGAACCTATACATTCTGTCTGAACTTCATTTCATTCATGCACTCTTGAAAATCTTGAACAAGTAGGATTTATTATGAATGCAAATGCACACGTTTATATGTTTATAGAGATAGTATGGAAAATCGATTTAAAACACATTACAATTAGTAATTTTTTATTCTTTTTTTTTTGCATCCACCATCATTTAAAACAGGGGTTTTCAACCTTTTAAGTCAAGGACCCCAATATGATGATTGTGAGGGACCCCTTTCCTAAAACATAATGGCATGTATTCTTAATTTGACATATTTACACTGAATGAGAAAAATATTAAATGTGTGAAATAACAGATAATAGAATAATTAATAAAATATGAAATAACTGACTTTTATATTGTCATTGCACTTAAGCCAAAACAAATGATTAAATATCTAGAAGATATTCACTTCACTTTTCTTTTCTAACCAGTATTAAAGTACAGTTAGATGCATAACCTGAAACTTTTTATTTTTATTTTCAATTACAGTAGTGCTTTTCACAATAAATTAATTTTTTCATAGCAGCTTTATACACTACTAATTTAGCCTTAACAGCAAAATTTAAGTTAAAGGCAATGGTGGCAAAGAGAAACTCTTTAGAAAGATACAAATATAAACTAGTATTTAACTTATGCAGATCATAAGGAAAGAGAGATGGCTACTTAGTAATAAACATATATTTTCACAAAATGCTAATTTTTTTTTACTTAAGCTGTCAATAGAAGAAAAATTAGAAAGCAGAATGAAACTTAGAATATCCAATTCAGTAAATGTGTTTAAGATTATTGTGTTAAACATGTTTAATTAGTATGTTAAGTTAACTTTGAAATTATATATTATGTAAAATCTTTTTTTTGTCTTTGTGGGGCCCCCAGTTTGAAAACCCCCGATTTAAAATACATCTCTCCTGCTTTTTGGTGGCAAGTAAAGGCTTGTCCGTACTAACACAGATGTTCTCTAAGAAAATTTGGACTTATTTTCGCATGTGATTTGTCTGTTCAGGCCAATGAGTAAAAAAGAGCAGGCAGGCAAATTAACTAACAGTAGATGGTGCTTATAGAAAAAAATGTTAATACCTTGGTTTCTTCATTACACAAAGCAGTGCTGCACAACTTTACATTTCAGACACATGACATGTATTCGCTATGGTGTTTATCAAACACCAAATTCAAGAGAACAGAGATGAGAGTAGTAGCTTCATATAACAGCAGCGGCTCTGGGCATGTGGCAAGTGTGAATCTCATTGGTTGGCCAGTTTTCTTTGCTGTCCAACAGAAAATAGATTAGAACATCTCCCCGTAAAAAAATTCCATTGCATTGATGGCATGCAAATGTTTGTGTTGGTCTGAACAGCTGTTCATTCAAATTAAAAAAGTTATAGCACTGAATTTTCACATGCAAACATTTGTCTTGGTGTGAACAGGCCTTAATTGGGCATTTATGTACAATCTGTGTCAGTGATGTCTATACAAAACTCTCCTGTATTTACAGGAAGTCCTACTTTACATCAAGCAACTTCTAATCATGTAAAATATAAGTGACGATGCATTGTAACTGTGGACGGTTAGTTACGAATACGAACTATGCTTATGCTGCATCAAAACATCAGAATCACATGCTTTTTGACCGTACTACAAGGCAAATGATCTAAAAGAGATTGTTCACCCAAAAATGAAAATTCTCTATCTCATGTCATTTCTTTTCTTCTATGGAACACAAAATATGTTTTTGGGTGAACTATCCCAATAAGTGCCTTGCATACTTTTCGGTAATATACACCTTGACTACAAGTTCGATAACTCAGGATTGCTTGTAGACACTATCTTCTCTGAGAGGCTTTGGAGAGACACCATTTGGCTGTTGTTGGAACACCAATCAGAAAGAGTCTCCACCGACGCCTGGCTCACGGCACCTTGTCGCCTGCCAGATTTCTGCTTTTTGAGAGAAAGTAACCCGGACAGTTTAAAAGAGCTGGAGGATTGAAGGACGGAAAGCATTCTCTGATGATACCTGGACCTGACTGCTCTGGCAGAGCGGAATAAATCGCCCAAGAAACAATAGCAGATGGGATTGAGGCTGGAGTTAGTGAGACCCAGCCACTGCGTGAAAGGCCGAGTCTGCAGAACCCAGTGAGGTGGATGAACCTCGCGGTCAATCAGGATGTCTGCAACGTAAAGCGGGAGCCAGGAGATGGCGAATAAGAGAACCAAAGTGACCACCACCTTGGCGATCTTCTTGCGCATCTTCAGACGTGAAGCATGCACGGCCTGGCTGTGTGGATCGAAGTCGGCGAAATGTTGAGAAGCCCTCCAGAGCTTCCTGCCTGTCAGAAAGCTGATGATTAGGTTGAAGGTCACGGGGATGCAGTAGAGAGCAACAAAAAGGAGCACGTTGTAGACCTGCTTGAGTCTCGCTTGTGGCCAAAGCTCTCTGCAGATCGGCACGACGATGTCGATTAAGTGGATCTCGTCCAGCTTGATCATAAAGAGCAAAGGTGTGCAAATGGCCGAGGACAGGATCCAAACGCACACAATGGTGATACAGATCTTCTTTTGGGTGAAGTACGAGAGGGAATTCAGCGGGCTGTGAACACTGTAGTATCTGTTGACGCTGATGACTGTCAGGCTGAGGACACTTGCCGACACGGACACGGCTTGGATGAAGGGAACAGCCCGGCACAGGAGGTCTCCGTACACCCATGCGGTGTAAATGGTGTGGCCAAGCGTGATGGGCATGCAAATGCAAACCACCATTAGATCACACACCGCCAAGTTGATGAGTAAACTCCGGGTGGCACTGATGCTCTGCATCCTCTTACTCTTCTGGCAAGTGAGCATTCGAATGGCCATGAGATTTCCAATGAAACCCACCACAAATGATAATGAATACATGACGGTGAGAGCGATAGTGGTGGGCTCTTTGATTGTCAGCAGCAGCAGTCTCTCCAGCTCTCCACTCTGGTGGAGGAAAACATCATTTGCGAAATCCTCGGCACCGCGGAAAGAGGCATTCAAGGACAGCAAGGCGTTTGAGAGCAGAAGCTCTTTTTTCAGCAAGCCAGCAGTGAAATTCATATTCCTTTTGTTTCCCCTAAATGTTCAGGGGATATTTGTGACGTTTTGATATGTGGTGGTTGGAATCCAAAGGCTGCTTCAGACATCCCAGAGTCGATTACTAAAGCTCAAGGCATCTTCATCTTCAGCCAAAACGAGTAAGGTAATGAAATCCATCATTTAGCCAACCGCCCTCTACGGAAACATGACACACATTAGGAGGGAAATTAAATTACAAGATAACATGAAATCCAAGTAATTGCACTGACTAAACTGTAATCCTTAAAATCCAGTGCCTGATTAATGATAAATATCACAAATATCTTTCTCTTTTACATTATATTACATTTAAATTGTTCTCCATAATCTTGTCATTTGTCGTGCAAGATTACATTTCAGAATAAATAGTGCACCATTATAGGGCACCATTTGGCTAAATTATTCTCATTTCAGACTTTTTGAACTAGGTTTTTGAAACCAACAAACAAAACCACAAGGGAAAACAGGCATTTGTGTTATTGGACTTCGCAGATAATTAAAATGAACTCTCAGCACAGGCTAGAACTGATTAGTAACAAATAACTCCCGTCTTTTAATATTGCATGCTTATTTTTCTTCAAGTAAGATTAAACCGTGCCTATAGGCAAACTCTCGGGAATGAAGCATCGGGAGCCACAATAAATCTCATATCTTATCTAGCTACTTAAAATGAATAAATTGCGTGTAATACATACTGTGTCGAAAATCCAGTTGTTTCTAAGCAGTTTTCCTCTGACATATTACGCATTGGTTTCTGTATGTTAAGTCACTTTCTCCTTATTTCTTTCTGTCATGCATTAGAGTAATTATTGCATCAAACTGCATGCCTAAACTGCATCAAAACGACGCAAGATAGAAAGTAATTAGAGAAATATTAATACATACCGACGATATGTGTGGAGTAACAGGTGCGCGCGCGTAATGTGCAGTCAGAGGACGGACTGGGTTCAATGTGCTTCTCCTTCATCTCCAGCTGATGGGAAGAAATGAGTGTCTGCGGATGCGGCTCGCACGACTCTGCTGGCGGAGCTGATGCGTGTCTCTGATGTGATGGGAACAGTTTTCTCATTCACCTCTTCGCTCCGCACACACCGAGGTGTAGTGGCTGCAGAATTAAAGCGGTAGGCTACTCACCAATGCTTAACTAAAAAAAAGTTGTACACATAACGAAACGATCAGCACTTTTGATACTCTACTACTGTATATTCGCATGAGATGAAGACAGTCTATTTTATTCTACATGGAACGGGTCGCCACATCATGGGTGCCGCCATGAGATCATCACATGATCAGCTGCATCATTCAATTAAACAATAGTAATAATAATTAATAATAATAAAATGTTCACCTTATATAGAACAAAAAGTACATTAAAAGCACGAAAATGCCTAAAAACAAAAACAAGCACAGTTAGCACACCAAACAGCTTGATCAATATAGAGCTCGAGTCAATAGCTTAGTTCAGAGTGATGGTATTGATCAGCACATGTGCGATCCACCGCTCCAAACTTAATGAGCATGAGTGGAAAAATAGCCCACACAAGCAAACCCTGCTTTGAAGACTTAAAACAAACTGTGACAACACACTGCTCTTAAGACACAGAACACTGCAGCATCAAGCACAGAGTGCAAAGTCACAGCCACAGGAGACACTGTTTTTTTACTTAATATTTCTCAGGGTAGGTTTATTTTTTTTCATTTAGGCACAGCTTGAAGTCTTAGCTGCATAAATGCTATTGAAAGTTTATTTTGCACAGACATTTACTTTGTCACATTGTGTGGGGTAAGCTGTCACAATGGGAACCTGCAATAAAACAGTCTATTATCAGCTATTAATGGCCTTTCACTCTCTATATAATATATTATGTGGTGCCTTTATGATGTAATGTACTTTGTAAAAGCACTTTGCTTGATCTATATTTAGCCTGTCGCTGTTAGGCTACAGATCAGCACTCTCTAGTCTTTGATGTCATGCAGTCTCTGCCAAAAAATGAGAACACAGTGCATTATCATTGATTAAAGAAAGATTTTGACCACTTGTTTACTACTGTTCAAAAGTTTGGGGTCAGTAAGTTTTTTTCCCTTTTTTTTTAAATTAGCAAGGATGCATTAAATTGAACAAAAGTGAAAGTGAACACATTTATAATGTTACAAAATATTTCTATTTTAACTTTCTATTTATCATATAATCCTGAAAAAAATATCAACATATATTTCAACATTGATAATAACAAGAACTATTTAGTGAGCAGTAAATCGGCATATTAGAATGATTTCTAAAGAATGATGTGACACTGAAGACTGGCGTAATGATGCTGAAAATTCAGCTTTAACATCACAGGAATAAACTGAATTTTAAAATACATTCAAATATAAAAGTTATTTTAGATTGTAATAATATTTCACAATTTTACTGTCTTTACTGAATTTTTGATCAAATAAATGCAGTCCTGGCGAGCATAGGCTAAGTGATTTCTTTCAGTGACATTTCTGACCCCCCAAAAAACTTACTGATCCCAAATTTTGAACGGTAAAGTGTAATGTATAAAAAATATGTATTTTTTGTATATGTAAAATATGTATTTATATATATATATATTTTTTTTTGTCTTTTTATTTTATTATTTTTTTCATATAAAGTTCTGTTATATATATATATTATAAAGTTATAATTTTTTTCTTCACTTTTTTCACTTTAAAGAGAGAAAATATGGTTAAAGGTTAGCCAGTCATATTTTATTTATTTGTAATTTTTACAGTTTCTACATGGTATACATATTTGTATTCATTATAAATATGTTTTATATTGGAAAACTGGTTTAAGTACTAAGAGTTTTATGTCAGTTTGACTAAATGTCATATGTGTGCTTTGTATCATTTTAAACATTCATGCTACAGTAAAATGCTTCCGTGCAAAGACAACATATTTTGGGTTCTTTGAGAATACATGTGATGTCACAGTAGAACAAGACTGTTGATGTCTTGTTTCTCAATGAAATGTATGTTCATATCATATGTATTAATGGAGTACATTTATTTGTATGAGTGTAACCCATCTCTCCCGGGTCCTCACCACCACACCTTGTTCTGAGTGGGACTCAAACCCAAGTCTCCGGCATGGGAGGCAGACGCACTAACGAGGAGGCTAAAGACTGCAGCCGCTAGCTTCAATCGCTAGTGCGTCTCTTGAGATCAGGGGAGTGAGGTTTACCTGCACAGCACCTACTCGTTTGCCTCCGTTACACTCACCCCCCTAAACCTCACTCCCATCCGGGTCACGGCACCAATGTAACCCCTCTCTCCCGGGTCCTCACCACCACACCTCGTTCTTGTTCCGAGTGGGTCTCTGGCATGGGAGGCAGACGCACTAATGAGGAGGCTAAAGACTGCAGCCGCTAGCGTTACATGAGCATATTTTTTATATTTTCTTAGGATGTTTTTATCATAAGCAAACCCAGATGGATTTGCAGAATCTATTTTTGACATTGATTTTGTGGAAAAACAGAAATTCTTAGTCACCCAGATGAGTCCTTCAGGAATCTTTTCAAACATCCAATTTATTCACAGATTCATATAAATATGGAGTTAAGGTAAGGCATGTCAATACTAATAATCACACCTTTACAGAAGATAATTAACCCAAGAGGATAATTATGAGTATTGAAAGGTGTGTAAACAGATATGCTAAAAACAATAACCCACCATAAACAAACACAAGGTTCACTCCAAATGAATCATCTGCTTGGCCTTCCAGCCCATCACTTAGTAAAAATGCTTTTTGGTCATTTCTAAAGAGGAGATATTGACATCATTCACCACTTGTACTTTCGTGATGGTCTTCAGGTCTTCCACACGGTGTTTATACTGCATCACCTTGGTTTCGTCAATGTAAACATGGAAGTTATCATTGTCAGAGTAAATTTCAATCTGTTGAGAGACAAGGAGTCAATGCTGACTAAATCATCTTCACTCATAATCAAACATAATTCCTGCTGCTCGTGATATTTTGTCAATAAAAATGTGCTCATGATGCTTTATCACCTGGAAAGGCTCTTCTATCCCGAGGGGGAAGCTGCTGCACCTCTCCTCCTGCCCCCAGTGGTTGGCCATGTAGGAGTTGCAGATGATATCTGACTCAGTGAAGCAGGGGTTTAAATGGAAGGCTATTCTGTCATCGCGGTCACACAGGAAATTGATCTCAAACCTTGAAGACAGAGAAAAACACATGATGTAATGAACAAATCATTTGGCCAAAACTGAACCTGAGACCACTGCTTGAAGGGCTATCATAAAGCTGGTGTATTAAAACGCATGGGCAAACAAGCAGATGACCTTATTAGATTTCTTTGAGAATGGTCTTTGAGAAAGTTCATAGAACATTCCCTGTTAGCTGGGGAGGGATTGAGGACTTACTTGCTGGCTTCTGCTGGGGTCTCTCCTTTCAGGATGATACTCCATCCTGGACATAGACCATCAGGGCAGGATACCTCAAACTGATTCAAAATGGGGGGGAACAAAAAAACAAGCTTCATCACATTCGCTGAATATTACAGATTACATTTAGGGTTTTTTAAAAGCCTGATGTTTATGGCAATACTGATAACTAGAGGCTAATATAATCCCAGCATACTGTATCAAATACATAAATATGACATTGTGATAATATTATAAGTTTTTATAAATTTGAGGCTTATTCATTGACTTGGCTGTTGGTAGATTCTGGAACTGACACAAGTGGAAGCCAATGCTGATAATGTCCAAATGACTAAATATCAGCAGATATTTAAGCCTAGAATTTATCTATCAGTAATGAAGAGTATTTACGGTTCAGGCGATCCAGAGTGCTTAGGAGCTATAACTGTCCAATTACCAAAGGCTTCCATTCAGGAATCTCATCTCCGACTTCATCATGAATTAATAGACCTTTGTTTTACTGCATGGCTATCACCGTTTAAGAATGAAATGAAGATGTTATAGCAATATTCTGTAGCCTGAAGCTATCTATGACATTAATAATCAAGCAGGCAGTAGTTTTTCATACAGATAGCTTGCAAGGATTGTGAGTCACTGATCCCATCTGTCACTGCTGAATGAAATTCCATCAAATTTTTTTTTGCAGTGCTGGGCATAAAAAGTAATTGCCAAATGAAGTCAGCAAAATCCCAGTTTGCAAAATGCTAAATATATGAAGACAGCATAAATAAAAATAAACAAGTAATAGTGTTTTAAAGACTATCTGAAATCGATAACCCTCCTTCGTTAGAACAATATGCTCTTAGCATTTGCTAATCTTAATATTATCCTAATGAAAGCAGTTTAGATATTCCCGGGTCCTCACCACCACACCTTGTTCTGAGTGGGACTCAAACCCAAGTCTCCGGCATGGGAGGCAGACGCACTAACGAGGAGGCTAAAGACTGCAGCCGCTAGCTTCAATCGCTAGTGCGTCTCTTGAGATCAGGGGAGTGAGGTTTACCTGCACAGCACCTACTCGTTTGCCTCCGTTACACTCACCCCCCTAAACCTCACTCCCATCCGGGTCACGGCACCAATGTAACCCCTCTCTCCCGGGTCCTCACCACCACACCTCGTTCTTGTTCCGAGTGGGTCTCTGGCATGGGAGGCAGACGCACTAATGAGGAGGCTAAAGACTGCAGCCGCTAGCGTTACATGAGCATATTTTTTATATTTTCTTAGGATGTTTTTATCATAAGCAAACCCAGATGGATTTGCAGAATCTATTTTTGACATTGATTTTGTGGAAAAACAGAAATTCTTAGTCACCCAGATGAGTCCTTCAGGAATCTTTTCAAACATCCAATTTATTCACAGATTCATATAAATATGGAGTTAAGGTAAGGCATGTCAATACTAATAATCACACCTTTACAGAAGATAATTAACCCAAGAGGATAATTATGAGTATTGAAAGGTGTGTAAACAGATATGCTAAAAACAATAACCCACCATAAACAAACACAAGGTTCACTCCAAATGAATCATCTGCTTGGCCTTCCAGCCCATCACTTAGTAAAAATGCTTTTTGGTCATTTCTAAAGAGGAGATATTGACATCATTCACCACTTGTACTTTCGTGATGGTCTTCAGGTCTTCCACACGGTGTTTATACTGCATCACCTTGGTTTCGTCAATGTAAACATGGAAGTTATCATTGTCAGAGTAAATTTCAATCTGTTGAGAGACAAGGAGTCAATGCTGACTAAATCATCTTCACTCATAATCAAACATAATTCCTGCTGCTCGTGATATTTTGTCAATAAAAATGTGCTCATGATGCTTTATCACCTGGAAAGGCTCTTCTATCCCGAGGGGGAAGCTGCTGCACCTCTCCTCCTGCCCCCAGTGGTTGGCCATGTAGGAGTTGCAGATGATATCTGACTCAGTGAAGCAGGGGTTTAAATGGAAGGCTATTCTGTCATCGCGGTCACACAGGAAATTGATCTCAAACCTTGAAGACAGAGAAAAACACATGATGTAATGAACAAATCATTTGGCCAAAACTGAACCTGAGACCACTGCTTGAAGGGCTATCATAAAGCTGGTGTATTAAAACGCATGGGCAAACAAGCAGATGACCTTATTAGATTTCTTTGAGAATGGTCTTTGAGAAAGTTCATAGAACATTCCCTGTTAGCTGGGGAGGGATTGAGGACTTACTTGCTGGCTTCTGCTGGGGTCTCTCCTTTCAGGATGATACTCCATCCTGGACATAGACCATCAGGGCAGGATACCTCAAACTGATTCAAAATGGGGGGGAACAAAAAAACAAGCTTCATCACATTCGCTGAATATTACAGATTACATTTAGGGTTTTTTAAAAGCCTGATGTTTATGGCAATACTGATAACTAGAGGCTAATATAATCCCAGCATACTGTATCAAATACATAAATATGACATTGTGATAATATTATAAGTTTTTATAAATTTGAGGCTTATTCATTGACTTGGCTGTTGGTAGATTCTGGAACTGACACAAGTGGAAGCCAATACTGATAATGTCCAAATGACTAAATATCAGCAGATATTTAAGCCTAGAATTTATCTATCAGTAATGAAGAGTATTTACGGTTCAGGCGATCCAGAGTGCTTAGGAGCTATAACTGTCCAATTACCAAAGGCTTCCATTCAGGAATCTCATCTCCGACTTCATCATGAATTAATAGACCTTTGTTTTACTGCATGGCTATCACCGTTTAAGAATGAAATGAAGATGTTATACCAATATTCTGTAGCCTGAAGCTATCTATGACATTAATAATCAAGCAGGCAGTAGTTTTTCATACAGATAGCTTGCAAGGATTGTGAGTCACTGATCCCATCTGTCACTGCTGAATGAAATTCCATCAAATTTTTTTTTGCAGTGCTGGGCATAAAAAGTAATTGCCAAATGAAGTCAGCAAAATCCCAGTTTGCAAAATGCTAAATATATGAAGACAGCATAAATAAAAATAAACAAGTAATAGTGTTTTAAAGACTATCTGAAATCGATAACCCTCCTTCGTTAGAACAATATGCTCTTAGCATTTGCTAATCTTAATATTATCCTAATGAAAGCAGTTTAGATATCACACAAACATATGAAGTTACTAGGCTAGCTGGCAGAAATCAGGCAGACAGAGAATTAAACTCAGCGATGACTGGAAGTACATTAGAGGATGACATTCCTTTGAGCAGAGGTGAGATGTCGCCTGCATTCGCATGATCAGTTCAGCTCCATTGGCCAGCACCTGTTTTATCTGAGACTTTCATGTGCTTCTACGCTGTGCTGCATGCTCTGTTATCTGGATTATGAGCCACTTTAGAGCTTGGTGCCACAGGGTGAGATCTGTTTGGGTATTCGAGGGGAATTGCAAAACTAGTCACGCTTCCTGTGCTCATCAACGCTGAGCGTCAGACTCCAGTAACTGCTTGCAGAGATATGCGTGAGATTTCATGCAGGATATATGAACATATATTGCAAGCAGCAACCAGTATCTGTGAACTAGAAAAGTGCAGATCTGGAGCTGTACCAAAAATCATTGGTTGTTTAAAAGCCTTTCAGTGACATCGGAAAGGAAAGCAAGCTGATTTCTGGTGTTTTACAGGTAAAGATGGAGTGTTCTTTAGATCGAAACTGAGCCTTTTAATGTCCTCATTACTTTAAGTGCAGCCACATGGAAAATAATTAAAGCATTATTAGTTTAGCTTGCAGAGAGAGAGAGAGAGAGAGTGATGAACTATGCAGAAGAGTTAAGAGTCATGCTACCATCTTATAGGAGAAGAAGGTGTGCATTTTAAATCAAATATTTATCATCTAAACCTGCCTCTGGTTTAAATGAGATGGAGTGTTCTTTAGATCGAAACTGAGCCTTTTAATGTCCTCATTACTTTAAGTGCAGCCACATGGAAAATAATTAAAGCATTATTAGTTTAGCTTGCAGAGAGAGAGAGAGAGAGTGATGAACTATGCAGAAGAGTTAAGAGTCATGCTACCATCTTATAGGAGAAGAAGGTGTGCATTTTAAATCAAATATTTATCATCTAAACCTGCCTCTGGTTTAAATTATTAAATTTAAAGACTATGCCAGACTAAAAACTGCTTTAATCACATCAGCAACTTTCCATTTAAGTGCTCAAGCACATTTTAGCATCACAAAATCTTGAAATACTTAGCTGTTACTCAACACAATTAGTAAACTTGATCTGCTTCTGTTCGCAGGTTAGCAGACAGTGTTTCCCTTACCCGTAATGTCATCTTGTTGGCAGGGCCGTCTATTGATCAGCTTACAGCTGGATGTGTTTTGGTAGTGAGGGGTCATTTAAAGAGAGGGCGACACCACGTGAGGGTGAGCTTAGCAGGATCAAGGCTGCAAAATGGGCTTTTGTGTGTGGCAGGTTCATGCATAGAAAAAAGCGTAGAAATACAATACAATTCAATAGCTTTGCCTTAGGCCGCATGGGAGGCTTGTGACAGACAACCAGACATTAGGTCAGAATCACGGCAAAGCATTTCAGGTACTTCACCAGTTGCATAAGTATGATTGCAGATGTAATGGAAATCGTATATGGAAATGATGTGGTTAATGATCCATCTCTCATTATGGAACACAAAACATCACTATTGAAATGAATCACGGGATTTGTTTTTCAGCCAATGGAGTGTATACATTATCTGGGGGAAGATAATGTGATTTTGATGACTGTATTTCAGCCGCCCGGGATCCCTGTAGGAGCTGGCAGAGAGGAATTGTTGACATCAGCAATGAGCGAGAGGTGCCATGTGGCTTTTTTTAACGTGTTTTTCTCTAGCGGTGAATGATTGGCTGCTGATCCTGGGGATTAAACAACTATCCATGTGGGTGTCTGTTTGGACTTTATAGCCTATCAAATCTGCAGCCCTCAGGAATTTCCTGTCTGCTTTTAGTCACAATGGCTCGCTAAAGCTCATCAGGGCCGAAAATCACGTCCCTGCTTACAGCTGCAAAATACTCTGAATTTCTATACCGCCTAGGCCTTAACAATACTTGAAGTTCATGAATAAAATATCATGGTCTTATGTGCACAATATCACTCAAACTTTGCACTATGTTAAAGCAAGTAACAAAATCAGACAGCTCTTCTAAGCAGACAATTATTACTATGGCCTTTGGAGACTGAATGTCCAAAATGACCCACTCTACTCTCTGCCAATGATCGTATATGGCTTGTATAGTTCAGTGTGTGTGTGTTTACAGTTGACCAGGCGGTTATGGCTGGGGGCCCCACCCTAAACACCCTCCTCCATCCCTGAGATAGTAAGGATGGACACAGCAGCATTCTGATCACAGTGTGCTGTTATCTGCATGCATGCCAGGGGCTCCATCCTGCTAGATTACATCTCATATGAGGCTGTGAGGTGCCTCTCGGGTACCACAAGCCCAGACACACAGTGACAACAAATTGCTTGAAACTGGGTGGGGGTCTAAACAAAATGCTAATATGAACTATCAACCACAACACACAAACAAATCATTGTGACACATCATGTCGCTTCTAATGTCGGTGCTGTAGTGATATCAAACACTCTCCGGTGAAGTCTGCTTCAGGCTTGTAGGAATCTAGAAATTAAGTGTGTGAATCTTGTGAGAAAAGCTATTCACATTTACACAGAATGATAGAATGCTAGATAGATAGACAGACAGACAGATAGAATAGTGTAGTTCTAAAACACAGTTGAAGGTGTTACATAAAGTGCATATCTGAATCCACACATGCATGAATGCACTGGGTCAAAGAGTGTGAAATGAATTGTCCAGTGGGGTAATATGGTGTAGGTTGGTGGGAAGGTTGTACTGTCTGATGTAGTGGGAACAAAATATCCACCATGTCTATTTTAGAACAGCATTATTTATAATGCATATGGTTTAATTTGGTAAATGTAGCACATGTTACATGACCTCTGCATGTCCTCATTAAAGTCCAAGTCCAGTGTTTGTGTTGGCTGTCCGTGCTCATACTGTCAACTTTCTCATCACAGAAAATCCCTCATGAACACATTAGCATGGACGGAAATTTCATTCTCCATTTATTACCATACATCCTTTTTTATTGAGAATCTAAGCCACAGGTGGAAATCTGTGGAAGAAAGTAATGTTTTGAGTCACCAACATCACACATATGCTGTATTTCTCCCCTGGCAACCTTCATATGTTCTGATGTTGTTTGGCATCATCATTATACGGTGTGATCACAAATTTACAGATTTCATCAATGCAGAGCTGCACACAGTGAAGCCATTTCTGACTTTCATGTCCTACTTCTTTTTTACTTGTCCTAATCTTATGAAAACTGATTACAAACTTGGTAACATGCTATATGTGTTTGGGTCTCAGAGACCTTAAACATAAACCATGAATAAATGCAGTGAATTTTTACATGGTAAGATTCTCTGACTGGTGTACACACTTTAGATGTTTCATTCATTCATTCATTCAGGTTTTTTTTCTGGGGTCAAACTGAATCATAAAAAATGAATTGAAAAATACTTTTAAATTCCCCCCCAGTCACAAGCAACATTATTATATTTCTGACAGTCAGTTTTAAGTAATATAATATACTGTATATATAATATATAATAATGTCTTTAAGTCAGAGAAAAATATTAAAATAATTTAAAGGGAAAATAAAGGTAAATACAATACTATTATTATTATTACTATTACCAATAGTTATACTAATATTTTTAAGGTCTTCAGTGGTAAAACTTTTGAAATTCTTGACCCAGTAAATTTTAGCAGCAGCCCTGCATGAATATAATGTCAATCTTAACAGAACATTAGGGTTAAGCAGGTATACAGTTGGCCAGGAGAGGGCGACAAATATCTACTTAGTAATACCTATTCTGTGAAAGAAAAAAAAACTGATGCTGATGACACACACACACACACACACACACACACACACACACACCCAAGACGCAGTCTCCGCTGAAGCCATATTAGGTTCCATAAATAAAAGTAAAATCTAAATGGGGCCCAACTGAATTCGTCTTCCTCTTATAAACAATCAAGCTATACTCTATACCAGTATATGTCCCAGATCAGTTTTACCCCTTCACAAAACACCCCATAAAATGTTTCTTTGAGAAACACAACCAGATGTATGAGCTTTACAGGACACGAAACAAGTCAAGCATGTTCCCAGATGATTCTCAAGGCCTGATGTCTTCAAACCCCAGTCTGTTGTTTACATCTTAATCCTGTCTCAGGGTTTAAAGCTCTCATTCCCAAGAGAGTCTAGACAAAAAAAGCCAAACATGCGTCGACCATGCCTCCCTTTTTATTCTCCACTGTGTCATTATGATGTGTCTTTGTTTTCTCCGTCCTGTGTGCATAATAATGAGAAGAGGCTGAAGTTTCAGCCTTGTATGCAAGGCCCCCACCGATGTCAGCATCTCCATTTACATAATGATGCAGTGAGATTCAGCTCTCTCAGAGGCTTGTGAATATATGCCATATGGTGCAGATGGGACCAGACTACAGCATGACAGGGAGGGCAGCCCGATGGAGCTCTGAAAGGCTTTTCCCCACCCTTGACAGAGGTCACACAACAGGCTGCTCTTGTGTGCTCTTCTTTGTGACAGTCAAAGCATCACGAATCATCCCACCTGTGTTGGAATGAGCCATATAAATGATAAAATCCTATGATTTTTCATGTGTGGAAAGACAGATACAGAAATAGTGCCCAGCTCTGGCTCATCTTGCACATCTTAAATTTTGCAACCTGAAATTTAGCCACCTGCTTTGATGACCAAAATTTATAGAAGAATTTAAGTTCAAGTTTGGACACGGACACGGCCAAACAAAGTGCTGCACAATAAAAGAATAAGAATACACAATGAATGAGCAACAAACAAATTAAAAACATGAGGAGAAGAGATGAGTTTTGAGACAAGATTTGAACTCCGATAAAGTGGAAGCCATTTTAATGTGAATTGGCAAATTATTCCAAAGAGTGGGACCAGCCACTTCAAAGGTTCTATATCCCCTGGTCTTTACGTGGGTTCTGCGGAATTTGCAGGAGAAATTTGCCCTCCGATCTTAATCCCCTCGCAGGAATTTAGGGGACTAGGGGTGGAGTAAATTTGACAAAAAAGGAGGAGCTAGATTGTTTAAAGATTTGTAGACAAGTAGCACGATTTTAAACGCGATTCTATAGTATAGTGAATCGGCAGCCAATGCAACAATCTCAAAAGGGGAGTAAAATGATGATAATTATTTTTACATCCATTCAGAAATTTAGCTGCTAAATTTTGGACTATTTGTAGACTGGGGATTTGATATGCTGCAATAGAGGGAGTTGCAAGAATCCAGCCGAGACATAATAAACGAACGGATAGCAACCTCTAAGAGAACTATCAGAAAAAATAACTTTTTAAGAGGGATTTTAAAGAGAGAGAGAGAATGAAGACAGAACAAACTAGAGCCTACAACAGTGCTGCACTGTTAATCAAATTTCAGGCAGTTATCAAACTCCACATCCAAACTCCATACTTGGGGAGAAATTAAGGAATTGAGAGACTCAAGGTCCAGTTGATTGCTTGCCCTGGAGTCTGACAATAGACAATAACTTCTGTTTTATCTGTGTTCAAAAAGATGAACATTTTTGGAAAGCCATGACATCATTAAGACATGATGATAGAGTACCAACGGCACACTTAGTTTTTTTAGTCAAAGGCAAGTAAATTTGCATGTCATCGGCATAACAGTGGAAGGAAATACCATGTTTCCTAAAAATAGAGCCCGGGGAAGAAGGTAGAGAGAGAAAAAAGCAGGTGCTAAAATAGAACCCTGAGGAACCCCGCAGATTAAATTGCCTAAGGACGAGATAAAGCTTTCAATTTTTACTGAAAATCTATTGGTTAAAAAAAGATTTAAACCAGCTTAAGACTGCCCCAGACCCACAATGTCAATTATTTGCCTCAAAAAGCGAGGATGTATTATATCATGGGGGCATAAAGAAGGTTTAAGTTTTGTGATAACTTCCTTTACTGATTGTAAGGATCCAAGATTGAAGGTTGTACAAGAGGTGGATGGATTCATAGACGACAACACTTCATAATCTGTTACCTGTATCTTGGCTCTCAGATCTGTAACTCTGTCACCAAAGTATCGTATCTCAAGAGTGCAAAAGACTTTGAAAGGAATTTGTCAGAGGATTTAACACTAAGTTTATAACAGAGAAAATAACTCAAATTCAATTCAAACAAGAATCAAAAAGAATTCAAACAAATATTCAAATGTGAGATTTTTAATAACCCCATAGTTATTTTATTTTATTATATATATACATACATATATAT